AAAATAACTGTTAATAATAATAAGTTTAAAATAACTGTTAATAATAATAAATTAGAAGAAATGCTAAAGCGAAATTTTGTAAAATTATTTTTTGTATGATCTCTAAATCATTTCTTCTTATTTCTTTCTTTTTACATCAGCGGTGTATAGACGTTACATTCTTTAACATTTCTCTCCTTCCTCCAATAAAAGAAATTAATTTCTGAAAATAAATTCGGCTTTTTTTTTCAGCATCATTTTTGCATATTTCGAAGATAAAATCATCTGCCCAAAATTAATAAATCTGATAACAAACCTTACTTGATCAATTTTTTAAAGCGGTATCAAGTGCATATGGCTAACTGTCGAAGAGTCATGAAACTTCTTTGAAACTTAATGCATATTGTTACGAAATGTACAGGCGCGGTAAGATGGCTTCCCTGCGAAGCTGTTTTAGGGTTGCCATAAAATGGCAAAATAAGACAAGGTTGCCACATTTGGCGAAATTCGCAGACAAAATTAGCGATATGCCACGGATGGATGAAGAACCTTCTGGAACGAATTCTTACCAGTTTAGCCCAGAATGTTCTCGAACACAAGCCGAAAGCTATATAAACCCTGCTGGTCCGCAGTCAGTTAGTATCAAATTAGTGTCTCGTCTAGCGAGTTAGTATCGAGTGGGTGCTTCGTCGAGTGTGTGTCTCATCTAGTTAAGTCCGTGCGGAGACGATCGATTTGACAGCTGGGCAGTGAGTGCCGAGTGGGTCGTCGAGTGCACCGAAGGAGTCTCTTAGTGCATCGCGGTAAGTGCATCATCGAGAGAGCGTGTTGAGCTCGGAACGACTGAACCGAAGAGTCGGGAGCTGTGCTCTGTGCATCGCGAGTTGTAGCGTGGAGAGTCTCGAGAGTACGTGGATTTCCGAGAACGACCAAGCAGAATAGGGAGCTGTACTCTGGTGCTTTGCAGTGAAGATGTCTCCACCGTCATTGCCTGACAATGTGAAGGCTGCGTCGCTGAATGTTCCAGCGTGTTTATAGTATATCTTCGACGACTGTAAAAGTGATTTTGGAGCTATTCTGATTAATATTAGTAAATAAAGTGCTGTCGTCGTTATTCACTCCAAATCCACACGAACCCCGTACGACGTGAAGGAAGAATATAACGTAACAACTGGTGTCAGAAGAAAAACGCAACAATATGAAACATGGCACAAAAAGAAAAATTGCCAAACATTATTTCAAAGCATTTCGAGTTTTGCGTTATGAAATACAACAGAAAGGAAGTTTTGAATATCAGAAAAATAAATAACAAGGTGACAGTAAATGATTTTGTGAAAGGCAAAATGTTTTTTATCTACTCTAAAAAATTTGTAACGACAGAACTTCAACAATTCTCAAAGCAGAATTCACATATTATGGAATACACACGTCATTTATTGCAGTATGTACAGTATTCGTACTAGGCAGGTATACGAAACATTTATTACAGAACCTAAATAATTAGCGACAGGCATATATACAAATAGTTGAAGAAAAATTATCCGCTTTTTTAAATTAATATTTCGTTATACCTTTATAGTTCTAAACAATAACAACACAGAATGCTACGCGGAAACGTAAATACAGAGAAAAATATCTTTTCTAAAAATGTTCGATGTGACTTTTTTTAGAGACACGAATATCAAGGCGCTGTGGAAATTCCTGCCAAACACAGCTTTATGTGTCACTGCTAATTGTATAAAAGAAAATGTTTATATTTTAAGTTCGTTTAGGCTTGTGGATTGATACAAAGCAAACACTTGATATTTCACATGCCTCCAAAAGAAGAAATAGTTTACAATAGCAGGAGATGTAGAGGCTACCTGTTTAAAACTAAATGATCTAGTCCACTGTGTTCGAATTACACCAAGCAAATGACAATACGCAAAAAGCTTTCAGTTGCTTAAACGCCAATTCCATTCATTCTAAAAAAAATATTATCCATCTATTGTTTATATACTAGGAAAAGTCAAAAATCATTGCCACACTTGTTTTTTTCTTTTTTTTTTTTTTTCACTTTATTTGTACAAAAGTAGAGACGTCATTTTCCCATATAGTCTCCTTCCTTTACAACAATTTGTACAACAATATAAGGCTTGCGTATTGCCTCTAAGAAGGTTTTCGATTATTCGAGCAAAACCGTATGTATCGCTTTCTACATTTTTTGGTCCGTAGAAAATCTGCGACCTCCCAAAGCAGAGTAGTAGAAAGAGATGATAGTTAGGGAAAGGAATGAGTTCTAGGAAGGGGGTTCTAAGCACATCCAGACAAAAATGATTAATGTTTCGATCGTCTGTTAAGATAAGCTAAGATAAGCTATCTTATTCTCGGTAAACCCATAAGGTATTTCTCCCGCCTTCTTAGTGAGCCTTCGTGGTGTAGTGGTCTGCAAGCTCAGCGCGTAATTGAGATGACCGCGGTTCGATTCCCGGCGAAGGCGTTGCATAATTTTATCTTTTTCCATACGCATAATTCCTTCAAAAAATACCTAATGTCTCTACAGTGGCGCCCGAACTCAAAGGGTGTTCGATGATGATTCTCCTCACAGAGGATTTGACGATTGGGTCCCCTAAAAAAACCGCAGTCGCCCTTTAAAAGGGGTGTATATAAGGTATGTCTCCCGCCTTCTTAGCGAGCCTTCGTGGTGTAATGGTCTGCACGCTCAGCGCGTAATTGAAAGGGCCACGGTTCGATTCCCGGCGAAGGAGTTGCATAATTTTCCTCTTGCCTGCTTCCAAAAATACCTAATGTCTCTACAAGTCCTCTCGGCACCCGTCTCTCACAAATTTTATGGAATTCGAGCTCGTCATCGATAATTGCATTGCAGACAGATCCTTAACTAATCTGCTACATCACTGATGGTAAGTGGCCGCTTTACCAGTACCATTTCTTGAGCTTCCTGAATTTTCTGGACAATGATTGAGGCTGACTGTTGTTCTGCTCTCTCTGTCTCTTTGATATCATAATTTTCTGGTCACTTTCAAATTTCTCAATACGCTCATATATTTTCTTACGTGATGGAGCACTGCTTTCGCATTGCACTGAAAGCCTCCGATTAAATTTTGTTCCTGACACACACTTCCGACCATGGAAATGCTATTTATTCTTCGTGGTGCAAATTGGTAGCTGAAAAATCATGCTAACATTGTTGTAAAAGCAATAAGAATGATGTTATCAGTATGAGACTTTGATTATACGATCAGTAGTCCCAACTCTAAGTATGCATGGGCAGAAGGCAGTGTGATAAACATGAAGATGTGTTAAGGAGAAAGAGTGGATAATGTATGACTTACTCCTAAACTAAAACTTGACAGCCTTTTTTTACATTCATATAGCATCATTTTATTTTGATAGTTATAAAAGCTATGGAAATTTTAAATAGGATGATTCTTTCTGAACTAACCTTGGTATCTTAAACCATAAATAAATTTCACATTAAAAAAGATCGCTTAGCAATTAAATATAATTTGATCTTCACTGACGTTTTAAGATATTCAACACCAAAAAAATGACGAAAAACAATTCAAAAGATAATAAATGTAACAAATGTAAGCAAATGAATATTCAGCGAAAGTGGCTAGCTTGTTTTTTAGTCCCTTTGAGACTAAATGCTTCAGATCTGCAAATAGCAGAATTACGTAATAATATTCGTCGGGACATTCTGTCGTACAACTCTCGATTAGGGAAGAGACATACGAAACCGGACGGTACTTCCCTCAGGAATGCTATCGATCAGTATTGGGATGGTGTACTGCACAAAGTCATGTCTCCATGATATCCCACAGGTCTGTGACCAACGTTAGATACATTCATTTATTACGCCTGAAGGTCTTGGTTAGAATGTGAAAGAAATGATTTCGTGATAAGAAAAAAATATTACTGGGTTTAGCTATAATCTAATGCCAGATAAAATTAATTAATAAAATATAGTAGATTTCGGATTAACCGGAGCAGAAACGGGGCGATGCCCATGGTTAGACCAAAATCACATTTAATCCGACAGTAGTTAGGAAGAAAATAACCCATATTATAATTAATAGTAAAATACGAGTACTATTAACAATTTACCTGTATTTTTCTGCAGTTTAATTTGGAGAATAAATTCACTTAATAGTTAATCAGTACATAAAACTAGAAAAATACACTACAGTTCGAGACAGGAAACGATGTTTTTGTTTAAATAATTTCTTGTATTTCAATGGAACATTAATTGCTGTGCACTTACTTTTCTTTCAATTTAATAGTGCATTTTAATGGCCTTATTTAACAACGTTTATATATTCCAGCTTATATACAGTTCAATTATGTAGTGTTCTGGATAAAAACAATGCCTTAACTATTAAGATATCATCTGCTATCACTGATATTGTTCGAGGCATTTTCTTTACTTTTTCCAATCTCTGTGGAAGTTCTGATTTATTCTTATGATTTATGATAGTGATTTTTTCATCGTTCCCCATTAAAACAAACTTAACTTTCTTTAAACATGGCACGGTTAATTTGCAATCCGATGCCAGGGAGGATGTCGGGAGTTGACTGTATGTAAAATAATATTATATGTAAGATCTCATATCTCTCTGTTATAAGGTTCCAACTAAGACATTAGATTTTTAATACAACATAGGGAAAAAGATAATACTTTTTTTAATTGCTCTTCACATAATTTACATTAAATTTACATTTTACTAAAATTATAGAACTGTGTTAAATTTCCGTTAATGTATTATTTTATACAAATATATGTAAGCAAGCTAACTATTTATACATTAAAAACCACATTCAATTTTTTCTAAGAGGAGCTGGGTACTATTTTTTATAAAAAAATGTGTGAATGAATACATTAAAAAGTGAAAATGCTCAGCAGTGCAATATATCAGTTTTGAGAACGTGTTTTAGAGAAACACATGTTTTGGAGATCAATAAATCAAATCCATCTCATGTCTTGAAGAAATACTAAAGGTTAAGGTGAATATAGTACTTACCGGAGCTCATTAGCAATTTCTGCCGTGTTGGATCCACAGGCTAAGTTGCTGACGCTCTTCAGCCTTTGGAGTCCCAACTTTTTGTGGACGGCAGAACATGACCGAAGTTTAGTTCTCAAATATCTTCCGCACAGACTCTTCGCCTGATTGACTACATCTTGCTGTGAGATAGGACTTCGCCATCCAATAGTCGTGGACAGGCGATGGCCGACTACCTGTCCCACTTGACTGAATTTTCTACGACGAGAAATGGATTCTTTTGTAGTCTCCGCTGCTGCTGCGTAAACAGAGAGTGATGGTCGTGGGAAGACGACTGGTAAACTGTATTTCCTTGGTCTGCCCATCGACGGTGGTGCCAATGTCATGGGTCTAGGAGCTGACCCATTGGCAGTTGGTGAGATAGCCATTGCGAATATGAATTTACAAACTTTTACTTTGTGCGACTGTCCATTACCGTGAAAGTGTCACAGTTCATTAGAAAAGATAGCAAAATAAACAATCAAACGGATTCTTTTGAAACAATTAACTTATTAACACTCAAAATTAGGACAAAAAAGGTATATTTTGCCAGACACATTCCTTCAAATCCTTCATATAAAAGGGTGGAATTTGATGGACTGTATGATGATGATGTGACGACAAGTAGACTGGTTTTGAGTAGCATTTAATTCTCTTAAGAAAGTATAAAACATGTCTTGTATAGAACATATGTCTCAGACATAGTTGTCAGAACTAAAAAAAAGTAATAAATAATTCATTAAAATCAAACTAGAGCAAAGATGTCAAACTTCATATTTTTCGCGCTACAAAAAGCTATCTTGGGATTCAGGGCAAAATTACGATAAAACAATTGCCGTTCGTGACTGTTTCATTTCAAGAGTTTTTGTTATTAATTTTTTGACTGAATGAGAGACGAAATTTCATCTATCAGTGTCGAATCAGCTTCTAAGAAAATAAAAAATGATATCTTTTCTGCTGTCAACGGTCATCTCTAAATCAACAGACTGACGAATTCTTGACAGTTTAGTAGGTGATGTATAATCTAAAAGGAAGTACAAGGAACAAATAATAGCTTTTTGCTATGCAGTTGCTCAATAATCATTTGTAAATCTTCGAGGAGAAGAATTTTTATTCTTTATTCCTTCTTTGAAAACATTTCCTGTAGTGAATCTGAAAGAAAAACAAAATTACTGAAACGATACGAGAAAATATCAAATACCTCACGCTTTTGTTCACGTAAGGCACCATAAATTACTTTTTACAAATATTTTGAAAATAAAATTATTTTATTCTCATTTGTTAAGCTCAGGATGTCAAAATAATTAGAAAATAGTAATTAATTGGAAAACTGATTAAATCACTATTATAAAAAATGAATATTTGAGATAAAAAAATTATATTTTTTAAATGATGCATGTACTGCATTTACATAAAAAAATGTTGCATAGCTAATAACATCTTCTAGTACAGGGCTTCTTAAACTTTTTTCAGTAGCGACCCCTTTTTATCACTGAGAGTTTTTTCACGACCCCAGGACAACACAATATTTACGAAAAATTTGTGGAAGCCCATAAGCATTGCGCAAATCCGACACACGCGTGAGTGAACATTGTGTAAAAAAGATACACTATGTAAAAATATTTAGTAATTGTAAAATTATTATAATAAGTTAAAGAAATATCAAAACTGCTAAAATTTTTGGCGACGCCCTCCTGCAGGTAACATGACACCCCCATGGGATTCGCGACCCACAGTTTAAGAAACTCTGTTCTAGCATATTCTGCAAGCAATTTTATTAATTTATGTTAAGGAGGGCTATGATTTAAAATGACACTCGCGTGAAAGCTGAATGTCCAAACTCCTCTCCCTAAGTTATGTAACACATAAAATAAATTTATATTGTTTAGCTAAAATTAGTTCTTAAGAGATGAAAACTTTATTTAATTTTAAACCATAATACTAATTTCTATTTTATTATCCTCAATTCTTAATTTAAATATTGTTCATTTTAGCATAATTCCATCAGAAATATTTTACCTTTCAGTCGATAATTTCGCTATAAAAATTCATGTATAGGATATTTAATTAAAATAATATATTTGAATTGCAATAATAATTTTCACATTGACAAATTTTTATTTAACCGAGTTTACAAACTATTCCCTATTCTGTGAAACAAATATCGTAATAAAGATACTAAAAGCATTTAGTGTATCACTTTAACTGTGTTAAATGCTAATATGAGCTACTTGTACTAGCAAATGAACTACCCAGCCAGATTTCTATACTTATTTAGTGGTTCGTTGATTCGAAGGACTATATGTTATTTTTATCCGTGATATTATGACGTATCTCAAAAGAAAAAAAAATGTATCATCCAAACAACGGCCTGTGGTTTTAAAAAATACAAGTATTTGCATAAATTTAATTAATAACACATACAGTAAGCCTATACTTAATTGACAGATTTCTATTTATGCTCGGCTTTGTGTGCAGGCTGTTCAGAATATTTCATAGAAGTCCACTGAATTCCAGATACAGCTAATGCACTTTGTGTTACGTTAATTTTGCTTAGTTGCGTATCTAAAGTAGTATAATTTGTTTTTAGTTTCTCTGGAATAAATATTTTCAGTAATAATATTAGTTTTTAAATATAAGAATCATAATTCAGACAACAAAAAATTACAGTTAACTCAGAATAACTTAAAATAAGCAAAACTATTACATTCAAATAAAAAGTAACTCAATTGGAATATCTAGTGAATAACAGATGGTCATAAAAAGCGTATAATTTGTTTTTTATTTCTCTGGAATAAATATTTTCAGTAATAATATTAGTTTTTAAATATAAGAATCATAATTCAGACAACAAAAAATTACAGTTAACTCAGAATAACTTAAAGTAAGCAAAACTATTACATTTAAATAAAAAGTAACTCAATTGGAATATCTAGTGAATAAGAGATGGTCATAAAAAGCGTATAATTTGTTTTTTATTTCTCTGTAATAAATATTTTCAGTAATAATATTAGTTTTTAAATATAAGAATCATAATTCAGACAACAAAAAATTACAGTCAACTCAGAATAACTTAAAGTAAGCAAAACTATTACATTTAAATAAAAAGTAACTCAATTGGAATATCTAGTGAATAAGAGATGGTCATAAAAAGCGTATGTAGACTAACAGAGGTTAACACATAATGATAAGGTATAACGCAAGCTAACCGCTATAGGTGTCGACAATTCAAGTCAGAGGCATATAATTTGTTCGTTTACTACAACGATTTCCGTTATATACTTATACAAGTTACATTATATAATCTACCAATCTTAATAATTTACAAAATATTAAAATTGTCGCAGTTCATTTTAAGGGATCTCCGCGGGTAGAACTGTAGAAATTATATGCTTAGTAGAGGGTAAGATATCAACAATCATAGTTGTGAGAAAGGAAAAACCATTCCGTTGGCTCACTGTGAGCCAGCACAGTAAATTGTACATCAAATAGAAAAAAATTTAAACCAAGAAAACTGCAGCATAAGTAAATGGCAAAGATCACACTTCTTGCCGCTCAGTTACATCCACAGTCATTATGCAGTATATAACCCATAAACAACATTTACAGATGCTTCAAAGCGTACTCTAGACTAAAGAGCGCCAACACTGCTGATTCAAAGCGTGGCAGATAATTTGGTTAAACGAATTATCATTCGTCTTTCTCTACTAAAAAAAGAATTTACGTGAGATGACATTTGCTGGAAGCGCCTGTTCTGGCTTTTTGGCTTCAGGGTGTTTAACATGAAGTTGAATCTGGGGTGATCGAGGCTGTAAATAGGCCTTTCAGCCACGTCAAAACTTCGTATGACAGCCAAAACATGTTTGAATATTCTATCACATCACGTTCCTGCCATAGAAGACAACTTTTCCAATATTTCATTCTGGTTTTAGCGATTTTATTCAGCGCATCTGCCTACATCAGCCCAAGATTTTAGATAAAGTATAATAGTCACTTTGGTATCCTCAGGGTACCAATACTCATTCCATCAATTTATGAAAGCCCTTTGGGCACTAAACTGAAGCAGGGCAACTTTCTGTTACACCAATCATCTAATGGAAGAGATTTAGACTGAATATTGGTACAAAATGCCGATTATCCCGTGTACACGATCATTGCTAATTTTTACAAATGGAGACGAAATGAATTTTTTTTCTTGAATCCGCATTCAAAAAGAATCTGGAATCGCCCGAAACCTCTATTTCAGAATTAGAAGAGAAAAAGGGAGAAGACTCTCATTTAATATTAAGAGCTATAAATAAAAAAATTAAATTCATCATTTAATAAAAAAACAAATATAAGAATACAGTTTTTAAAACGAAAACAACATTTATGAAAACAATGCAAATGAAATTTAGTTAACAAATTATATAATTAATTTTTTTTATCCTGGGGTACACTTTCTCAATGTAATTTAGAAAACACTTGATTAACAATTTAAATCTTTTATATTTTACTTTAAGCAAGCACAAAAGGAAGAAGATTATTTCAGATGTTAACACTGGTAAACTTAGAGCCACATCAATTTTCTTCGGAAGATTAAGAGTGTGGCACCGCCATGACCACCGCGAGAACCCCCACGACGTGATATTAGTGATCAAGGTCCATTGAAACAGCAACAGTATATTTTTAAGGAATGCTTCTACTGGAAGTAAGTAAGACTAATCTTGAGCTATGCTTTTTACTTTCTTGTACGAAGTAGAGGAGTTCGGGCTTTTTTTTTGGGGGGGGGCGAACGTCTGTACGTACGCACAGAATAAAGGACCTGTTTTTCCAAAAGTGATTGTAACTGATTTAAAATTAATTCAAAAGAGATTTTTTCGGACATCAGTACGTACATACGTATATATATGTATGGATGTACATATTTCATATAACTTAAAAACGATTAGCCATAGAAAATTGAAATTCTGTTTATGAGACTGTTACATCTAGTTTTGCATCTCCTTTTTTATAGCAATCGGTCATATCATATGTATATAGATATATACCCACCCCTTACCCGGCTTAAAAAATCTTACCCGACCTTTATTTTCGTAGTCATGTACTTCCAATTATATAAGTGTTTTAAATGTTGGAAATATTCATGTTTGGGCAATATAAAATTTAAAAAAAAACTAATTTTCGAAAAATAACGAAATCTAACTACATATGTAATAACAGTTTAGTTAATATAATAATAAATATCCAAGTATCAAATATTTAATATGAATTTATTGTTGTACCTAACAATATTTAACAGTTTGTTTTTGTTCTAAAAAGAATATTTAATAGGTCGCGCAAAGAAGTCATGTGGTGTTGATATTAGATTCTTTAGGTTTGGATTCGAACTGTTCGAATGACGAGAAAAGTTTTCTTGAATCTCAAATCTTATTCAAGTTTCATGGAAATGGAAAATTAAAAACATTTTCGATCATTAATTACAATTCAAGCCTTGTGTCAAAATATCTATGTTGAAACAAAGTTGTACATAAATTTAATTCACATCCTGTATCGTACTTTCGAGACATGAAAAACGCAAGTTAAATTTCGCCAAACGACCTAATAGAACGGGAGATATAGAACTCACCCAAATTTTGTGCAGAGTGTACGTATACCATATACTCCATTTCATGAAAGCAGAACGTTCTTGTGAAACATTTCATAATCTACAATGGTGTGAAGAAAAGAGATAATTGACCTTAGCTCTTAATTTATATGAGAAACATGGGGCAGCCATTCGAATCCGGAGATTTTGAAAAAGATTCGATAGCCAAAAACTCGAAACGTTTCGATTTTTTTTTTTTTAACCATTCGATTTTTCCGAATCCTAACCTTAAACAAAAAAAAAAAATAAAAATAAATAAATAAATAAATAAATAAAAATAAAAAAAATACAATTAATAAAATTAAAAAATAAAATATTTTAAAAAAATTTTTAAAAGGATTTGTTTTATTAATGTCCAATTTAATTGATTTGTTTCATTTAAAAAAAGAGCGCGATTGTTGCATTTTCAGTGGTACCTAAATAACAGTATCACCTTAGTATGATCCTCAGTATCACACAGTAGTTCTGAAGATAGATTAAAAACTACTAAACCTCCTTGGATGAAAAAAAGGCTGCATCGTGCGAA